ACTAGTTTAATAAAGATATATTGATAGAGAAGGCTTTCCGTGTAAAAGATTATAGTTCTACTGCTTGTATCTCCAAATAATGAAATCACAGGTACTAGGGCTTACACACTTTTTTTTCTTGTCTGAAATATTGGAGGAAAAATAGTTGTGGACTATACAATTTTGGATCGATAGATCAAAAGTCTTAAAGATTATGAGTCATTATGAGGTAAAAATGTCCAAATGGTCAAATATGAATATAACGTATAGAGGTCAAATCTTCTAAGTCAGCTATTCATAGAGTCTACAATAGAAATACAGTTCAGATGCTATCCAGCTGTTTTATTCACTACTATTACTTTAATGTAAATTGGAAAAAAAGTTTGAAGTATTCATGATAGGAACTGAATTTTATTGGGGCTATCTTCGGATTTATCTTAATTGATTAATTATATATGTAACTCTTCATCTCATAAATTAACATATAAAGTAACTGATTCAGAAGGGGGAAGTAATATTTTTTAAGATGATGCTTGTATGGGTTGTAGCAGGTGTCATTTTGGAAATAGCTTCCTATATATAAGGGGGAATTGTTTTCCAAGGTTGTGTTGCCATTTGCATTTTTTTCTAAGTATTTTTAAAAGGATATTAAAAACAAGCAAACTATCTGCTCCTCATTTAAGTGGGAATTTGATTTCATTGCAGTCCCTAGATGTTTTACATACATTAACACGCACATGGATAAAGTTCAGCTTGCCCAGAGAAAGGAAATGAGGTTGATCTGATAGTTTAAAAATTGAAAACTCAGGAAGAGCAAGGTATTGCATTGTCACTTGCACTATGCACTTTTTAGTGTAACCAACACTATATGCAAGAGAAGGAACAAATGTTTGCAAGAAGTGATGTAGTAATTGGTCTACAAAATTGTACGTTCTTAATTAAGTGCTCATTCAATTCCCTAATAATTTCATATTGTGTTTAGGAATACTATGTCTATAATTTCTATGGACAGAGGATACATATTTTAGTATACATAGTGTATACTAAAGAGCTTTGCATTTTCTTTAAAGGCACTGCTTGATTTTAAGAATAGAAAAAGTAGACTTGGCAATTTTGCACATTTCATGTTCTCAATGGCTTTCATTGTTCCTATATAAACATTTGTTATTAAATTACATTAAAATTTATTTAGATGATCTATTTCCAGGTCATAGCAATAAACAGAAAAGAAAATTCCCTACTTAAGAACAGAAATGTTAGTATTTGTATTGTTTCTTTAAAACTTAAAAGTGGTATATTTTCACAGTTTCTATTTAGCATTTAAAAAATGAATAATGCTGTCCTTATTTAACATTAACTGCTCTGCCTCAGTATGGAATTGTTTGATAGCAGGCACACAAGAAAACAGTCATGAGAAAACTAGTTTGTGTGATAGACAACACCATTCAGCAGAGATTGGTTTTTCTGCTGTGATCTCTTTAAAACCCATATGAATAAGGTTTGTTATTGGCGTTTTGAATTTATAAATTTCAAATACAGTATATGTTGTTGATTAGTGTGGCAGATTTGAATAACTTTCATGCCACCGACATTGTAATGTGTGGTTAAATCCAAACTCTTTGCACCAAAGAGAAAGAAAAAAATATTGTTACATCAGGTTAATACACAAAGAAACATTTTGTAATAGAAATCTATCCAAAATGCTGCTTGTATAGGATTTATCACTTTTGTAATAAAATTATTTTAAAAACACACAAAAAGCCCACTTGAAGAATGCCACTATGTAAGATTTCATTTTAACTACCTCTTGATATAAAACTCAAGTTGAGCCCATTTTAAAATGGTTCCCTCACTACGATGTTAGGTTTGATTTGTGATTACTGCCAAATTTTAAAACATTTTGATTCACCAAAAATGTAATATTTCAGTATGTGTGCTTATGTAACTTACAGTTATTATAAATCAATACTCTTTTGGTTCCTTTAATTATACAAACCTATAGGTGTTGGAGAAAAATTAAATTATACAACTGTTCCTAATTATAATGTTTGATCTATATCAGCTGTATGTGTCACATTGGCTGCTGTTAATCTTTACATGTCATTAAGTTAGCCTCTGTTTCCAGTGCTTTTGACAAGAAATTGAAAAATTATGCTATAATGGAAGTGTGCCACAAATTGTATTGTCCTATTGGCCTCTTTTTAACTATTGGCTTATTATGGTCGCAGATGTGAATATTGTGCATAATGTTTATTGGGGTGGGGTCTGTATATTGTATAAATTAGACTTGAATTTCTGTGCTTATCTTAAATTACAGATGTATTAAGGTAGCTTTATCTACATAAGATTGCACTTCTTTTTCAAGTGGATCCTTACATTCACATTATCTTTAGATAGTCTTGCATGGCAATTTTTATCAGGTGGATTCTCTTAAGTCCTTCTTTGAGTGGTGTGTTTATGACTTGTAGTCATGTAGTCGTGCCTTATAATGTTAAAGAGTTTAGTTCAGTATGCACTGTAATTCCTAAACTCTGCATTTGGAAAGTGATGGAAGCTGAGTAGTAAGAAAAATGACACCATGCAATCACTAATTCTGTATGAAACCAATGGGTGGATACTTATGGAAATATTACTTTTGTATTCTATTATTGGGCTGAAAATAAAATTAGAAATTTCTAATAGACCATTCGCAATTACTGTTTTGGTGCACTTTTGCTGGTATGGAAAGTTATCTACTATATATGTCAAACCTATTCATCTCCAATTCACATATTAGTAGAAGGCTTCAACTATTTCATATTTTGGCTATGGCAAGATTGAATTTCTTTCTTTATTCCATATAATTATATTGCTATTTTAAGTGATTATCATTTTCCCTGAGTTCTTTGAATTTAATAGTTTGTATAAAAATTTCAATCTCGGTGTCACTGAAACTCTTGTGTCTTGTAGACTTTAACTGGATGCAACAGTGCATTATAGGGCAACATTTTTTGAACCAAGGTACCTCAAACTTATTTGAGGTAAGTTATTTATCATTATTTATCAAATTTATTTGCTGTCCATCTTGGGGTTCAGATGACTTACTTTGCATCCAGAGTCTGGGACACATGACTTCTCTGGGATTGAAATTTGGCAAATTTATAGTCACTTCAATGCTGCTTGGAGTTTCAATACATCAGTTCTGCCCTAGCCTTCTGCAGGTCATATAGATCAGTCCCATCATCAACTGCTAAAGAGCAGTCAGCTGTGTTCAAGCTGCCAGGAAATTGGAAGTTGCTTTCTCATCCACTATTTTTCCCTTGGTTTTCTGTTTCAGTAAGGAAATATCTCTGAAACAATGATCTAACAGGTTGTGTATTGTCTAGTATTGTTAAAAAGGCTGTAGAACCAATATCCCTAATGTGTAGTGCCAAGTACATATTGCAGAATGGAAAGATCTCAAGAGATATAACATAATTGGATGTGTTTTATGAACTAGAGAGCCTATATAGGAGGTTAATTAGTCTTGTCCAAATCATATGAAAGTATTTTTAGTAGTACTTTCACCAAAACATTTCAATTAATTGTTTGACTATAGCATCCCATAGCCTCCTTTAATTGCCAATGGAATGGATAAAATGAGTGATGCATCATATTTTTTAAAAAGTAAAAAGACCTCTCATAATGGAAGATTTATAATGGATTTTGTATGTTTAAGTAATAGAATGTGTGCTGTATTGCCAGTCCACCTTAAAAAAAAGCCATGCTCATCTCTTAACAACTTTTTGGACATACTGTATTTGTGTCACTTTTCATTCTGCCTAAAATGATTCAGGATGGGTGGGTTATAAGGAGTTTTGAATAAATAAGCAATACAGAAGTGATTTCCCATTATCTTCATCCAAGATTTTCTCCCCTCCCCCCCCGCCAACTTTTCAGCCTCCCTTAAATGTTCGTATTTCTCAATAGTCTTCCATCCAAAAGAACAGTTTGGTTGGATCTTGATTAGCATGTCAAAGTCAGCCAAAGTTATTTAGATGCTACCAATTAGATTGCTTATTCATAAATAATATCTAGTGAACTCCTTAATAAAAATATTTTAATTTATAAATCAGAAGTCCTATTGTCCGTTAACCTGCCATAAGGTTATTTTTACCTGTAGCTTTGAAGTAATTTTCAACTTGAGAAATTCCAGTTAACTTGGTTGTCAAATATCTATCAGGTTCTTTTAAATCATGGTTATAAATTTGTTACTAAACTCATAAATCATATTCTGTGGCATTTTTGTTCCATTTTCTATTAGCATGGTTGCTTCAGAAAAACATTGCAGCCATAAAGCCCTGTTAATTCATTACAACAGAACATTTCTGTTTTACAATCATCAGTGTGGCAAATCAATCCTAGCAAATGAGCTGTTCTTCCAGTGTCTGATGATAACGAAGATATAGACATTTCAAAGCCTTATCGTTAATTCATTTGTTAATAGTTTTGTCCAAAAACCCAAACCCTTTAAAAATCCCTTCTGTTTCTCCTTTATGCCTAAGTATCTCTTTAATGCAGAAAGGAAGAATCAATGCTTCTAGAGCTATATGAAGTTTTTCTGGTCTTAGTTCTGCTATTAAATAGTTACCTTCTTGAGTTTTACTTGACACTGTTTTAGATAATTTCAATTTTTTTCTGAATTTCAAAGTCTCTCAAAGTAGAATCAAGGTTTTTCAGCTAGATGAATGTTCTACCAGGAAATCTCTGCTGGATACCATTTCTTCGTTGTCCAATTTATCATAACAAATGACACATACGATTAAATTCATCCCTACACCATATGAATTGCAACAATTTTCACATTAGACTTGCGTATTATAGGATTTTTTTTCTTTCTCACTATTCATCTCTGCTTTGTCTTCATCACTATTATCTTCAGGTTTTTAATTGTCATTATAATTTTTAGACAGGTCATATTATGTACTTAGAGATGTCTTCTCACTTTTTGAAAAGCAGCATAATGCTATTGTAGTTAATTTGATAAAAAATTAAGCATGAAAGTAAGTAAAATGTTAGTTTAATGGCATTTAATATTCTTATATTTTTCCATTTATGTTTATTAGTAAATGCAGATGAACTAAAGGTCATACCATGTTTCATCAAAAATAAGGCCTAGCCCAAAAATAAGCCCTAGTTTGATTTTTTGGGGGGTGAGCCTAATATAAGCTCTACTTCCAAAATTAGCCCTAGTTTTGGGGCTAGGCGCACCTAAAAATCAAGCTAGTGCAGGGATGGAGAGTGGAGTTGCCCCACACCCTCCGCACCTGCTTACCGTTGCAGCCAGGCCTCCCATGAATAGACACCTGCCTCGCCTCACTAGCCCACTTCTGCGGGGGCCCCCAGCCTGCACTTCATCAGCAGAGGCCTTCAGGAAAGGCCTCTGTAGCTGAGAAGGGAGCTCTGGATTCAATCCGTAGCTTAGTTCTTGGCTGCAGAGGCCTCTGACAGCAAAATGCAGGCCAGGGGGCACTGCGTGTGTCAATCTGGAACTCCATTCCAGATGCATTTCCTTTGGTCGCAGAAGAAATGGGCTGGTTGGGCGGGGCTGTCGGTGCCGCCACCGCCGTGAGGTGAGACTGTGGAAAATACCCCCTGGTGCCTCTTTTGGAGACAAAAATAAAATAAATAAAACTTGGTCTTATTTTCAGGGAAACAAGGTAGTAACATTGATATTTGCATATGTTCATATGAGTTATTCTCTGAACTCTGTTCAAACTAAAGAGTACTCTCATTTCAAAAAGGTTTCCAAACATTTTAACACTTTTCTTTAAAAATTGAAAAACATTAAAAAAGTAAAAACATTATAAGCTACAGCTAAATTTCAGAGGATTCAGCAAGTTGACTGAAAAATGAAGCTTTTGAAAGATTATTTCTTCTTATATAGTTGGTGATTGTTGTTTCCATCTGGGATATCCATGTTTTCTGAGAAAAAAAGCAAACGTTTTAAATTAATTTTTACAATTTATTTATTGAATTTGTATGCCACTTAACCCCCAATGACATTGGGTAGCTCACAAATAAAAACATCAGAAAGAGAAAAAAAGGACAAAAAAGTTGCAAGAATGACAAAAACCAGACAAAACAAAAGAGAAATAACTCACACAATCCATAGAAAGCTTCCTCACTCTTACTAAAGGCTGGAGTGAAGAGCCATGTTTTTAAGGCTCTTCAAAACGTAAACAGGGTGGGGGCTAGCTTGGTGGTTGGGGAACTCACTACATATTGCAAGTGCTGCTACAGAGAAGGAATGCTTTTGGAGTTCCAATAGATAGCGTTATTTAATCACAGGCACTTGTGCGCTGACTCTGCCAGATTGAATAGCCTGAGCAAATGCTATAAGAGATAGGTAGCCCCTCAAATAATTAGGTGCTATACTAACACGGGCTTTATAGGAATAGCAACTCCTTGAGTTGCACAGGAACCAAATAGACAACTAGTGCAGTTCATAAAGCAGAGGTGTTACACGGCACACAGGCAATGTCATCACTGCCCATGCCACTGTTCTCTGGCTCAGTTGAAGATTCTGAGTGATCTTTGAGGGTAATCGCATGTACAACATACAATAGTCAAGTCGTGAGATATTCTGGGTATGACTGACTGACAATCTTCCTGATCTAGGATACGGCATAATTGGTGTACCAAATGAAGCTGTGCAATGGTCTTCCTGGTCACAGCAGCCACATGCTTATTGAGATCCTCATGGGGAAGTGCAATCCCATGCAAAGTCAAAGATGAATAATTCAAGATCTGAGTGGCCCAAGTACTCAGAGCAAGTTGGTCTTTATAGGAGTGAATTCCTCCCTATCCAAACTGGCACAGACTCCAGTGGGACAGAACCTTAACAGCTTGGCCAGCCCAGGGTCAAGAGATATAATTATGTATTATCCATGTATTGATGGTTCTGAACTTAGCAGTTTATATGGATGTTGAAAAAAAGGGGACAGAGAATAAAACTATGGCACCCTACAAAAGAGGGGCAAGAATGATTTCTTCCCCCAAGCAATACTGATTGGAGCTGGTTCTGGAAAAAAGAGAATCATCATAAAATGATGCCACCATCCCTAACCCAGAGAGGCATCTCAGAAGAATACCATGGTCAACAATATAAACAGCCATTGAGAGTTCAAGGATGGATGCAGTACCTCCACCCTTTTTCTGATGTTATCTACAAGGACAACCCAAGTTGTCTCAATACTAAATCATGGCTCAAACCTTACTGCAATGGGTCTAGATAATCCATTTCCTCAAGAGTTCTCATATATTATGGACCGATTATTTTCTCAATAACCTTTCTCAGAAAGAAGAAAAGGGACTGATAGTTATTGAAAACTGTTGGAGAAGCAACAGCATTATTTCAAGGCAGGAAGTACTACCTCATCCATCAAAGAGGCCAATAAGGATGGATACATTTTATGCTTTCAAGAAACATTTCCAAAGTAAAATGCCTACCTTGGATACCTCTGTTTGTGCTTGAAGTAAATAGGCTCCTATGCACTGTTGATATCTATTTTCATGTTGTATTAGAAAAGCATTTCGTAGTCCCAATGCTAAGGAAATATAGAAACATGATATAGCTTCATTCCAGATCTCTATAAACAGTGAATAACTGCCTTTCAGTTTTCCCAATGGTGCTTTTTTCAAGAGGCAACTGGACTTTCTTGTTTTTCTTTGAAGACGTTTTGCTTCTCATCCAAAAAGCTTCTTGGATGAGAAGCGAAACATCTTCAAAGAAAAACAAAAAAGTCCAGTTGCCTCTTGAAAAAAGTACCTTTGAGACAATCATGACTAGTGGACTGAGAATCTCCATAGACATTTTGCCTTTAAGTTTGTAACAGGAATATTTAATTGCTGCTGATGTACATGCAGATAATTCAGTGAACAACTTCAATAGAATGTTCAGCTAACGTTCTTTTATATAGAAGTAGGCAACAATGACTTTTGGGTAAATTTTATGGAGCCTTTCTGGAATTTTAGCTATTAAATCTGTTGAGATCTCTTAACTGCTTTCTTTTCCTTAAAGTCTGTTATTGGGGAAAAGAGATGATGATGCAATGCATACATACATAAAAATGGTTCTCATCAAGACAATAAGTGTTTCTATTCTCTAATGTTGGTTTCTCCCCTTTCTTCTTTTGCCTCTGTCTTATTCCTATCATGTAAGTTCCTAAACAAAGATAGGTCTGGTTTAGATGTAAATGCAGCCTAAAAATTGGTCGTAAGTGGTAAGAAAACAAACAAACAAAAAGTTTCCAAAAATATTCATGAAAATCAATGTTGAGTACTAAATACAAAGTTCTTCAAGGAAATTAAAGTGCAAACTCACATATACTTTGGACATCCCATTTTCTCCTAACTGGTTCTGGCTCATGTAAAATAACATCTGCTACTGATACCCACCCTTGTTTTATCATCAAAGGAATGCCTTTCAATTACTGTAAAGATAGTAAAATAATGGGCTAACATTTTCATCAATATTAAGAAAAGGGTTCTTCTATAAGTGATGATATTTAATCTCAGAGCTGCCTGTGTTACTGTTTCCAAATAGAATAGATTGTATTAATAGAATAGATTGTATTAAGTCTAAATCTGAATGTGAACACTAGCTTTTCCATTTCCATTGCCACTTTAATTATCTGAATACTTACTGTATTGCTATTCTAAGGAAAGGGCATAATAGTGCCTCATTTTTCTTCTGCTGGTCATATATTTCACCACAAATGTCTCTGTCTCTACACACCATGCAGAAATAGATTACAGTTTTAAGAGCTGAAGCTGGTTTTATACATATATGATTTCTCGTGATGTAAGTATCACTGTAATCCCCATAATAGTATTTAATTAATCAAATATTGAGGAGATATGATAATATAATAGTCAGATGCACTATATATAAGGGTATCAGCTGTGAATAATAGCTTCATACTAAGATATGTTGGGGACATAGAAAATGGAGAATTCAAATATGCTGGATTTATTTGAAAATGGGTAACATAAGATTTATTTTGTAAAACGTTCATTTTCACATGAAGAGAGTACAACAAGAATAGATTGTTTAGATTTAACAATGAATAATAATGTCAGTGCTAAATTGTGGGTTTGTCCCATCAGTTTGGCTTCTTTCCCAGCACACTTTAAAAAGCAAATCCATAATACAGTATATGCCATCTATAGTACAGTATTATATGAATTCTATTCATTACTTACAAGTTGTTGAATATATACAATGACTGTTTAGAGGCTTTCCAATGAAAGTAGACATTTTTGGAAAAACTTCACACCCCTCTTCATTATTTAAGTTTTCTAAATATTTTAAAGAGGGCTGACGTAGATGACCTGGCCTTCAAGAAATGATTTTAAAATCTCTGGCAAAGCAATTGTAAAATCTCTGGCAAAGCAATTTAGCATACCTGTTATATGGAATGAATCAATATTTTTTACCATCATTCTATCTAATGGAATAGGCTGGCCAAGTACCATGCAGTTACCACCTTCTTCAAGCAAAGATTGTAACTCCAGACTGAAGAAAGAACAAGCAGGTGTTAAACTCAGGTCAAATTTCTGAAATGAAATGAAAAACATATTTGCAATCCATGATTGCAGGGAAAGCAGGAAAGATTCAAATTAAGGTAAGTAGCTAAATTACAGGACATAGGAAAAAGGATCCTCTGGGATAAATAAATAGGAATAAACAGTAATGTGGGGGGTGGAAGTAGGGCTAGTGTCAAAAATGGCAAGTTGGCAGATACAGTATTGTGACACAAGACCTGGCATCTATGGTGCACATACTTCAAAAAGGTTAGGGCCTTTATAGTGATTTCCTTGCCAATTTTGATATCCCTGCCCACAACTGCCACTGAAATAGAGACTGTAGGAAAAGCTAGCAGCTCGTCTTACATCCTCTATGTTATAGTTTAATTAACCTATAAAGATCAATTAATGGATGGCAGATGGAACGGTGGAAAAGGAAACCAACTAATTAGGAAGGAGACAGGAAACTAGCTCCGAATCATATACTGACACAAGTTTGGGCATGTTCAAAGGGAAGAGGGAGGAAGGAAAAAAGACAAAATTGTTTGAAAACAGCAATGTGAAGCTGATGTTTAAATCAAACTACTAATATGAATATGAGCTTTTCTATCAAAAGCTCTACAATGAATGGCTGGCTTTGCACAACATGCTAAACCATAATGCGGTTTCTTTATTTTTGGCTTAATGAGGTATGTGAATCAAAATGCTCAAGAAATCATAGCATTATGTTTGAACCAGGCCAATATACCTTGTTCTACAAACTATGATTACAGCTAGCCCCATCTTAATGGTTGTGAAGCTAGTCACTCTTTGCACAGCTTTTGACATAAGCCAGAAATATTCTCTGGTTATCAATATTAACTGTATTTACTACCTATTGTGAAGAGACCCAAGGGGAGTTCCCATCCAATATCCTTCAGCCAACCTGTAATAACTATTATGCACAATGAAATGGAAGATACTGAAAGTATGGAACCTAATCCTAAAAATAAATATGGTTGACATAGCAAATATTACAGGTCCTCCAAAGATTTGGCTTGTATCATGGCAACCCTTAAAGCCCTTCTGTTCTGGCAGACTAACTCACCCCAAAGCATAAGCCAATGGCTTTAGTGTATGTTTTACAAGAGTGTTTTTTTGTTTGTTTAAAGTTGATTTTCAAATATAAGCTTTCTCCCTCCCTGTATGTTTAGTAAGGCCAGCTAATCTTAGTCTTTGCATTTCAGTAGGCCTATTTCCCCTCAATTTCTAGGGATTTCTTTATACAAGACATGTTTAGACTGTTGCAAATTCCTTATTTCTGTCTGCCATCTCTTTGATCTATGATATTTTCCCATCTTCTTAAGATTGGTTGCTGCTGATTCGAAAGTTGTTGATCAGGATGTACTGAAGATGAACAAAAGAAGTTGGGGGCCATTTCAAAAAGTGATTCTTCCATGTAAGCAAATAGTGGGCTTGTTTAATAAGGTATATCTTTGTAAATGTTAGCAACATGTGCTCTCTCTCAGAAACTGCTTCAGGAAGCAAAATAAAGGGAAACAATTCCAAGTTTGGGCATGTTCAAAGAGAAGAGGGAGGAAGGAAAAGAAAAGACAAAATTGTTTGCAAACAGCAGTGTGAAGTTGATATTTAAGTGGTGAATGAAACAGTTCTGAAAATAAGTCAGGTAGATTTCTGCAAAAGGACATAGTTTAATTCCATAGCCCTCTTCTTAATTCTTTGATAATTAAATAGCTATGCCAGTTATCCGCAACTCTTCCAGTTCCCAACAAGTCAAAATGTATATAAATACAACAGAAACTGATTGTTACTTTTCTCTTTCTTTCCTTTTATTTTGTTACCTTTTTATATCGGTTAGGTTTTGTAATCAATAGCAAATCATCAAACAAGAACAGATAGATGTCGGTAAATCTCATGGATTCTGCTGAGCAAAAAAAAGGTGAACTGTGATACAGGTATATTAAAAACAAAACTATTTTCTGAGCTCCTCACTATCTCTTGATTTTGGCAGATCTAACAGAAAAATTTGGAAGAAGTTAAAAAGTATGTTACCTTTTCTGACCAATAGATCTTTGATTTTATATATCCTTTTATGCATGAGGAAATTGGAAGAAAACAACTCCTTCCTATTAACACTCTACAACTTTAAAAGTATAAAGAGATTAAATTTATATTTGAGTTATTAAATAGTCATATCAGCCATAGTGGTACTGTATGGACTACAATGTAAAGATATCTCCTCATGTAAAAATACTTGCGGTTGTATTTACAAGGCTGAATTAAGTAAATGATTGCGAAGCGCTGATAGCAACAGAAGTAACTTTAGGGCACACTATGGTCTGGAGTTCCGCAGTAACTGGAACTCATCATCAGGAAAAAAAAACCCCAGTCCCATTATGAGAGAACTGGCTAAGAGAAAGGAGTTGCACCCATAACAGGCTGAACAAAAGAATTCCTCAAGAATTAATACTTTAGTAGACTGCTGAACCAATCCCGGGAATATTGGTATGCAAGCAAGGGAAAGTCTAAGTAATAGACTTTGATTTTGCAAACCATGGAGAAGGATGCTGTCTTGATTTTATGAAATTCCTGAATACTTAACATTTATGGCATTTATGGAAGCCCTAATTTTCTATGACTAATGCTCTAATTTCAAACTATGGCCATGTACTTTTACTTATTAAATAGTAAATATCCAGAATTGGACACAAAAATGAGCTAGAAATTCTGCCTGGATAACATGTATTCTGTGCCTTGTTAAGACTTTGTTTTTGTTCTTTCATGAGATTTGGAAGCTGTTTCATTCTGCGTACTGTCTAATATGCCTGCCAAATATGAAATATTGTATTTACCTGCAAGTATCAATCGCCCTTCAAGAACAAGTGATCTCTTTGTAGGTGACAAGATGTTTTCATGTGGATTATCTCTTAGCATGTACTTGAGAGACTTAAGATAGGGAAAAAGGAAGGTAGAAAAGGCCACAATAGATAAAAAGTGAATTTTTATTGAAAGTGTAAAGAAAATAAATAACAAGTAGATGTCAATAGAAAACAAACTGATATACCACGATACTGTTAAAGGGTACAAGAATCAAATCTCATATACAAACTTCACAATACAAGGTTATTAAGCTCTAATCTTTAGCCCTGCTTTGTTAACAAGATCAGGGCTTCTAACTTCAGCAATACACACCCATGTTTTTTTTTTAAGAAGAGTCTGCATGGATCTGGTCATGCTTTCTTCTCTTGGAGACTGGCCAAAGAAATGAAAATGCTGAGCATAACTACAGTATACCATATTCAAACATTAAAAATGCTATAAAAGAGCAACTGGAGGATGGGGGAGGGACTGAAGGGGTGAAAATACAATATTTTTGTTTTAGATTCTCCAAGGCCATACTTGCCTGGAGACCCTTCAACCTTTATAGTTCATACTGTGATACATCATTTGAAACAAATAATGAATAGATAGTAATCTTTTATATTCAACATTTTGATTGACTATTGTGATCTACCTGCCATGAAGGTAGAATGTTCCACACTATGTGATAATGGTTATCTTTTACTCAATTTGTATGACAATACTTAGGCGAGAAAGATTAAAGACTATATTATAACATTTTCTATGCTAATCAAGAAATTGCATACCTCAGGAACAAAATGTCTTTTGTCTTGATCCCAAAGTGAAGGCCAAATTATAATTTCCTGAAGCTGTTTAAATTTCTGAAAATTATCCAGCCATTTCACTTTACCTTCCAAATCTCCTAAAATTATGCCACAGAAAGTCAAGAATCAATGACTGGTAATAACATCTCTATAAACATTTATGGTAGCAAATATGTGAACATTGGCAATCTTCACACAAAAAGTGAATGTCCACATTAGATAAACTCAATCTAAAACAAGTGGTTATCATAATATTTTAGAATAACAGTTTTGTTATATATAGCAAAAATGAATTGTCAGATTTTTAGTTTCTTGTGCTTATTTGGTTTGAAAAGTTGATTTTTTTTCAGTAAGTCTGTATAATACTACTACTGATAATAGTATAAATAATATGTACATTAATTTTCAGAACAAAAAGATTCCCAAGCAGCTTATAGTAAATGACAGAAGTATTTCAAAACCAATATCTAATAAGAAAAGCAAATATAAAAAATATAAGAACTGTAGCACAAAATAAAAAATATCCCTATATAACGATAAAATAGTTAAAATAACTGCTAGAGAATTGGAACTAAAGAATAGAAACAAAACTGATTAAAAAACTACATGGCAAAACCCACAGAGTGTTAGGTCCACCAATGTGTCGTGCCATTCTGTTGGAGGGGGAGGGAGGTTGGCATTTATGGGATGCTTTTGCTTTTGCTGCATGCTTTGGAAATAGGGAGGGGGATTGTTTTCGGAGATGGGGCAGACTCCCAGCTGGTTCCAGTCTGGTTCCAAGGCCATTGTGCCATGAGAGTGACCTATTATCTGCCTAGCCCCTCAGCATTTTCAAAACATCTTCTTGGCATTACATTGGCTGCTGGTGGACTGGTCAGGGGCATTGGGTTTGGGGAAAACAAAAGAATTGCTTTGTGCTTTGGGCGGGACCTTCAGATTCCGTCTGACTTTACTGCAACTACCTTCTCTCACTAAAAGTTCTTTGGATTCAACTCAACGGATTCAAGAGTCTTGCTTTCCTCAGGGACTAGCTGGGGCAGGTCCTTACACAGAGAACAAAAAGGACAGAGAACGAAAAGGGACAGAAGGAACAAAAAGCTTTCTAAACAAAAAGAGTAAAACAAGGGTGAAGGCCAAGGGATATTTCAGTGTTGTGGGATAAATACGGAGAAGGCCTGGCCACATCTCAGTCTGCAAATTCCCTAGGCCTTCAGAAATAATCTAAGACTTGTGTAGAAAAAAAAAAAACTATAAAGATACTGTAGTCCAAAACTGAAATATATTATAGCCTTTGAAATGTGACAATGAAGTAATGAAGTAACATCAACCTTGCATTGCTATTTTTTTCTTAGTTAGAATCATAGAACAATTTTTGCACATTTCTTTGAGAAACTCAGAATAGAACAAATCCCAAAGCAGCGTTGATATTTTGAATTTCTTTACTCACGTATTGATGTTTCCACCTTTTCCTTAAGTGAATTAATGATAACTTTCTCTGCTGTCTCTATATTTTTCCAAATGTTCTTTAACAGAAGGGGATAGCGGGTCAACTTGTGTAAAGGTGCAACTAACATTTCAGCTAGTCGGAGTCGCTTACATTCTTTATTCCGTTCACACCACTGTTAAAATTGATGGAAAAGACATGTTAGGAAACATAATTTCAATGGGATTTTTTAACAGAATAAATATTAAGGCACCAGTTCTTTTTATTGTGCTCAGTGTAGCACATTTTTCCATATCATTTTTGTAGTCTGTCATTTTTAAATCTATTTTCGATCAGTCTCAGTCTTGTCCAGTAAAACTTCTTCCTCTTGGATAATTTCTTTTAAACACAGATTATCTATAATGGCAGACATTCTTAAACTTTTCAAAAATAACACCCAATTTTCAAGCATTTACTCTATTCTATTTTAGTAATTCAAATTAAGTGCTCTTTTCATTTGACTGTAAATTTTAGTTCCTTTTGGTTACCTTTAAAATCCAGCCTTCAAAGTCCCATTCTATCATTTTTTAAAAAAAATTCAAACAGATTTTTCCCACAGAAAGGATTCTTATAATTATTTCAGAATCTTACTTCAAATATATCTGGACCCGTAGTCCATTTGTAACTTTCCAAAATCAATATTCTAACTACTCTTTTAAAGTCCTTAAACTTGTATTTAAAACTTCTTTTGCCTATGATTGAAGGAGACTCACCCAGTGCTGTAAAACCTGTTAATGTAAAGGTTCCTAGTAGTAGAAAAGCAATTAACAAGCAATTTTCAAAAACGATTAGAAAAGGAATTATGTGAACCCTGCATCCATAAAGGTGCAGACTGTGATTTGAACAAGATGGATTCCCTTGTCTTCCAGAGCAGAGATCCCTAACCTTTTGGGCACAGACCGGAGAGTGCATGGTTTTGTGTGCTGCCTACATCCCACGGATGGGGCTTTGCTTTTTTATGTGGACTGGTTGCTGGCATGCCATGGCCCGGTACCAGTCCACAGACCAGGGGTTGGAGACCCTGTTCAGAACTCTAAAACTATTAGAGACCCTGAATTTGCAGTCTCCTTGTGAGGAGCAACTGTCTGGAGCATTTGTATGCAATGGCAGGTCCTCCCCTTGTCTGCCGAGCCAGGTTACTGGCTGGCTCTTCATTCCACTCTGGTCACTGGATATGCTTTTAACAGAAGCACCTTCAGTTTGGAAGTCCTCAAAATGAATCTTTTAAAGGCACATTATAATGCAGAAAACATCAAAAATAGAACTATACAAAATAAACTAAAAACTTTTAATTACATTGCAGAAATAGAAAAAATGTTCAACATTTAAAAATGTGGCTTAAAACATAGTTGTGATAAAGCTTTTTTGTGTTAAGTCTGACTTTGGTAAATTTTGTTTTCATGAACACACGTATTTGTTACTTTGGCAGTAATTTCCTTGGTTTCTCACTGCTGCCTTCTATAAATTTTTCTTTTTTTTTCCAGTCTAGCTTGCCTCCTACTATTTTCTGGTCATCTCTCATTCAAATATCAATCAGATATGACCCTGTTTAGCTTCTGAGGTCAGCCAAAGTCAGCTAGCTGTGCCTTCTGGCAGAACATATTGATCAACAACAGAATTCTGCCACTGTAGGAAGGCAACACCTCCCCCTGAGAAAGAAATATTTTGGGAGATATTAAAAAAAAAGCAGAATATAAGAACCCCTCACCCAAAAATTCAACACAGGACATAGCCATCGCCATAGCCCCAAGGAAGCAGGACATGTGATCTCTAGGCCATAATAGGATTAACCCACCACTATTAGAATACCAGAAGGGCACACTGAACCTCAGGTCAAAGTTCATGCCACAGGAACAGGAACAACTCCAAACACAAAAGCCCAAGAAGGTATAAAAACCTACCACTCCTAGCTCCATTTGGTCAGCCACCCCAGAAACATGCTGCTGTCACTGAAGTTTCTGGCAACTAAATAAACAAGAACCTTTTTTTCTAAAGCAGTCTCAATTTTGTTTATTCCTGGCTTGGACTGGACTTTGATGAAGATTTTTCTTTCAACACCACTATTCAGTTAAAAGCAGACTGAATCTCTCCCTTTCCCTCTCCCTCTTTCCTCTCTCCTCTCTTTCCCTTAGTGATTTGTTCTGGACATAGTGAAATCAGTTTAAACACTGTAAAAGAAATCTGTAAAAGAAATCAAAGACAAGATTAATAGCTTTACTTTCAAATAGGTCCCAAAGTCGTCTCTTTTTTTCAGTTTTTCCAAGTAAAAAATAGCAGAAGTATAAGTCAGACAGTATATCTGGTGGCTCTGGCACAGGTTACCTTGGAAATGCTGGAAGATAAACAAAATACCAGGCACTTACTGCTAGAGTACAAAGCATATTGTGCTTTTTTTTTAAAAAAAAAAAGCCTTGAAATTTTTACCTAGCCATGATGCTGAACTTTGTATGCATTAATACTAATTCTTTGATTATGATTGTTACAAAAACAAAAGTACAGTGGGCATAATCCAGCCTTATTGCAACGCTTAAAATAGTAAGTTTAGGAAGTTCCATTGATTTTAGTGAAATTTACTGTATTTCTCAGGAAATAGGCACAGGATCATAGAAACTATTGGTTTTCTTTAGCTTACAAAAGGAAACTGTTACTAAAATCTCATTTTATCAGACCTTTATGCAAAGGAGATTGCATATGAAAGACCAAATTTCTGCTGTGATTTGTATATTTTGGATAATCAGAGATTTACTCAACTGGCATGATTTGCATGATGTACATCATAACTTAATCACACAAATCATATAAAATTGCCATGCTCTACTCTCCCATTCAATTGACTGTTCTCAATAACAGAGACATTTCTCCCAATTAATCTGTTAAAGCAAGATTTCACTGCTGTGGTGGTCTTGTATACAGTTATCCAAACATATCTATCCAAATACCAGATTTCCATTTTCCTCATCATAGCCACAATAACCAAAGACTTGGAGCCTGCAGAATTATGAGCACCAAAATATGCTAGATATTCAGAAGTCAACAAACTGGGAAAAACAAATTATCATAACTAGAGGAAAGGAAGCCATTTTGAATGCTTGTGGCTGGAATACCTTTTATGTGGCATCGTGGTGATTTGAGATTAAAATAAAAGAATTGTGGGTTTCTTTAGGAGAACTAAAACTTCTGCTTTCCAGCATTTCTTACCAAGTTCATAACTGAATGTGTTCAGTAACTTATTACCTTTGTGAGTACACTGATGAAATCAAGGGAGGGGGTTCGCCTGAGAAGATGATCCTCAATGGTGCTAAATAAACTGGTTACAAAATTTAGAGTCACCTAAGCAAAGAATAAATTTATTATTTTAAAATAATTTTGGATTAAATACTAGTCTTTAAGATATACAAATATGAGGATTTGTAAGGTTTATCAGTGAGGGGGGCGGCATATAAATTTAAAAAATAAAATAAATAAAATGAACCACATTCTTTTCCATTGAAGCTACTGATGCCTGTAGGCTATAAGTGGACAGCTTCTGCAAAAAAAAAGTGGATTGGATTAAAAACTGAAGAGGGGTCTCTTTGTGCAGCAGGGAAAGACCATACCATCTGCTACAATTGGGGATTGAAAATGGTTTAGAATGTCACTGTGTAATTGGCAGGAAGCACCACAACCACATAGACAAAAGGCTATTTTTCCTGCTAGTCTTCCTAAGAAACCTATATGCGAGTCAAGAAGCAACAGTGAGAACTGAACACGGAACCACTGATTGGTTCAAAATCGGAAAAGGAGTCCGGCAAGGCTGTATACTGTCGCCCTGCCTATTTCACTTATATGCAGAGCACATCATGAGAAAGGCAGGGCTAGATGAAACAAAAGTTGAAATTAAGATTGCCGGGAGAAATATCAACAACCTAAGATATGCAGATGATACCACTCTAATGGCAGAAAGTGAAGAGGAACTAAAGAGCCTCTTGATGCGGGTGAAGAAGGAGAGTGCAAAAGTTGGCTTGAAACTCAACATTAAGAAAACCAAAATCATGGCATCCGGCCCTCTCAATTCCTGGCAAATAGATGGGGAAGAAATGGAGGTAGTGACAGATTTTATTTTTCTGGGCTCCAAGATCACCTCAGATGGGGACTGCAGCCAAGAAATTAAAAGACGCTTGCTCCTGGGGAGGAAAGCTATGGCAAATCTAGACAGCATACTAAAAAGCAGAGACATCACCCTGCCAACAAAAGTGCGTATAGTCCAGGCCATGGTTTTCCCAGTTGCAATGTATGGCTGTGAAAGTTGGACCATAAGAAAGGCTGAGCACCAAGGAATTGAGGCCTTTGCACTATGGTGCTGGAGAAGACTCCCGCGAGTCCCTTGGACTGCAAGGCGTTCAAACCGGTCAGTCCTGGAAGAGATCAACCCCAACTGCTCTTTAGAAGGCCAGATCCTGAAGTTGAAACTCAAACACTTTGGCCACCTAATGAGAAGGAAGGACTCACTGGAGAAGGGCCTAATGCTGGGAAAGATTGAGGGCAATAGAAGAAGAGGACGACAGAGAATGAGGTGGCTGGATGGAGTCACTGAAGCAGTAGGTGTGAACTTAAATGGACTCTAGAAGATGGTAGAGGACAGGAAGACCTGGAGAAACATTGTCCATGGGGTTGCGATGGATCGGACATGACTTCGCAATTAACAACAACAACAATTCCACTTCAATGCTCAATTCTCAAGCCTAGTTTTTTCACTGCAACAGAATTTGTCCTGGTTTTTTGGTGCAAGTGACTGCAATCGTTTCCCCAGATCATTCCTCAGGCAGCCAAATTAAGCTTGGCAAAAACTTTTCATTGTTTTCAATGGAACATTTTCTTAAATCTTATTACTGAGGATGAGCAATTTTAGATGGGCCCTGGATGGGGGATACTGCTCTGTTAAACGTGTATAACACAGTCCATGAACATTCCTTCGAAATTAAATTAAACTATATTTCTGGATCTTATGTGTCATTCAAAGACAGGGAGCCAAAGACATTCTTTTACAATGGTGGTGTTAAGATCACAGGATCTTTTTCTTGTTCCAGCTTAAAATAAGGACACATCTATGAAATATTAATAGATACTAAAATGAGTTTTGGATGATTATTAAAAAAAGTATGTCAGATTTGGTGAGCACACAGTTTTTAACCACTCAGACCTGGAGTCTAAATTCTGTTCAATGTAGGATTATGTAACATACTTTATAATTAAATCATAACTTTGGGATAGATGCTTTGGAAAACTTAATATCTTGTATTTTCTATTTCAATTTTCCAGAGATTTACATTGTAAAAAATAAGGAGTATTTGGGTTTTGCTACTAGTACTATTTTATTTTAATTATTACAATCAAATTAATTTGATGGCATGAATAATTCTGGTATGTCCACATTTTTGTTATCACTAAAATTCCTTGTTGTCACCTGATTTAATTCTTCCAGGTTTGCAAACAGTAGGCCAGGATCCACATCTGGTAGGAGCTCTTTGCTCTGCAGGTACTTTAATGTATCCATAAAAATCTTTGAAAAACAAAGAAAGAGTGACCAATTTTTTGATAATAATTTATTTTCCAAATCCTTGAATCTTACTATTGCTACTAGTTCTTCTTTTGAGGAAGCTAATCCATTATAATTCTAAAACAGAGCTCAGATTTCACTGAAAGACTACTTTGTTTTTAAACTAGAATTTCAGAATTATAGTTATGAAATTATAATTATAATTGTTATAAACAAACCTATTTATTAACAAGGGAAAACAGAGAGATTTAGACTAAAAGAATTTTAAAGTCAAGAATTAGTTATGGCTATTAGAATTGAAATAAATGTATTCCTGTCATAAGACAGTATTATAATTTAAGACAGTGGGATCATTTTTGCCATTATTAAAGGACTGGGAATATGTTATTCCTGCCAAATCTATTTCAGATCACAGGGGAACTATTATTAAATTACAAACTGTGCTCTGACTGCCCCAAATAACCCAAAAATTCTAAGAATAGCATTACATTTCAAGGACCTGTAATATATATTTGTATATTAGAGAATGCATCTCAATTCCCTTCAATTTCCCCCAAACCCCCTGTAATAACATAACACAGATGTGCTCATAATTGCTTGGAAATCTTGCATACTGCATTGCTGCCAAGTTGAAATGACAATTATTTCACAATTCAGTTAAAGGATAAAACCCTCCAAATGGCTTAATTTGAAGTAGGCGTGTATAAAATTGAGCCATATGTTTTCCTTGTGTTCTTTGTTTTATGCTGTTTTATTAAAACATTTTCTTTGAAATACCAAGTATTGATATAATGAAACTATCTTCATTGCTTTTGATTATTACATATAGTAAGTCATGATGGTGGTTATCTACCACACATCTTTATAAGAAATGCCATGGGAACCAAGCCTTGAATACAAAGTATTGGATCAGAGACTGTTAGAAAGTGGAAATGCCATTCCATTAGTTCAAACGCCACTCAGCTAATAACAAACCATTCCAATACTGTGCCAAGGAAATTATCTGAATATGTCCATAAAGTTATCAGGAAATGAGTTTGATTGGAGGAAGATTTCCCTTTGGAAAGATTCATTATTAGAACATCTTCCTCTTACATTTGAGGAAGCTATTTCCAGTAAGTATAGTTCTCCATTTAAGTAAATGCAAGTAGTCTTTTCTTCACAAATGTATTTGTATAACTGGGTTTCAGTTCTCATGTAGTAAGGATAAATGGAAAAGTGAAAAACAAAAGTAGTGAAGAGTTGAAGAAATCAGGAAGTGTCATGAAAAGTAGCCTCTATTTTATGAATGGCCTTGTTTGTACATAATACTGAATGAAGATTTTTTGGAATCATAAATTGTTGAACAACAACTTATGGTTTAACTTTGAGCTATACAGAATGGACTTGCATATGACTTGCATAATCCAAAAATAAGCTAATCACATTATTGATGGTTTATATGTATCTGATTGATAACTGAGTTTCTCTGTTCCTAAAATAGCATTACACTAACCTTCCTCAATCCACTATGCTAAATTATATTTTCCACTTATCTAACACATATTTTTCATAAGCCAGTGTCAGAAATTCCATCCTGGTCTACAGCAGGTTGGCAATGAAATTGGGCTCATGTTCACCTGGACTAGGGTCATTGCAAGTCTGCTTGGTCATTCTCCTGCTTCTCACTTTTTTATCCATGCATGGAAAGCAACCCTTGCCAGCCAGGACCAGTGTGGACCAATCTGCCAATGTTTTTCTTTCATGGGTTGTTCATTTCTTACTAGTTTCTATGATTCTCCTTATTTTCCCAAATGTTTGCACTTCTTTCCCCACATTAGCTCCTTTAACCCCAATAGAGGTTATTTGTCCTCTCCCCCACTCTTATGTTCTTATATTATGATAATCAGAGCAACAAGAAACAGTATTTTTTTTACTCCTGTTTCTTCTGTAGTGCCATGGAAACTGTTTAGCAAGAAAGCACTGAGTTCAGCTTCATAGAAACCAAATATCTATGTCTCTCCATTGCAACTTAAAACTTTTTGTTTTTGGTTTTTAAGGACGGATAGCTTTACAGAACTGTGCAGCTTGAATGGAGCATAAGCTTCTGGGGTTAAGATGAATCGTTGACTTAATGTATTATTAACTTTAATGTCAAGATTATTTTAAAAAGAGTGGCTATCCATCAGCAGAGAACACACAAGCCTAGCAATCCAGGATGAAATGGCTGCAAGGGAACCAACCAGTAGTGGGAGAGTGGGGGCATGCAAGGAATGACATCTTATTGAACATGGACTGCTATCGTACTAGAATGGACCACTGGACTACATCTCTACTGAAGTGCTTTAGATAGGTCCCATCACAAAACCAGAGTTGTGAGTTGACGCTGGAAAACACAGGTAGGGGATGTGTGTAATGAGAAGAGGACATTGTCATCCATTTCTGCACTCAGATAGCGGAGAACAGCCCTTAGTGCTGATGGGCCAAGCAGAAAGTCTGGATCTGCTCTTAGATTAGATATATCCTTTCCCAATTCATTTCATTCCAGTTGAGATTGATTTGTATAAACTGCCAGAGTCTTGTTGAGCAATCCTTGCTGTGGCTGACATCTCAGCTCAGTGGAGCAAATGGTTACATAAGACCACAATCAGGTGAATGGGTAAGAGGCAAGCAGTAAAATAGCTGAAAAACTTAAGCATACCATTTTGAGAACCAACAGATGATCAAGAAAGTAGTTGCATTCTGTTGTGAATAGCTCCCACACAGCTTCTTTCTTCTTTGTGTCTAACTGATCACTAGTGGCTTTTGACTCCAGTTGATACATCTTCAACATTTCATGCCATGTTTTATCCTGTAATTGTGAATATGGATATACAGTATGCTTCTTTATACATATTCATTCTCAAAGGGATCTTTGCTATTTTAACCCCAGAATGATTGGTAATGGTCATATGTTGAACTTTTATTATAGGATTAAAACTCACATAAAATAGTATTAATAATAGGATTTTATATATTGCACTGAGGAAAATAATCAGTTAAGAGAAATTGAAGTACAAAGTTAAAACAAATGTAGCTAAAATTATATGATAAGAAATATTATACCTTTACATTGTATAATTTGTAGTCACCACACTCGGACATTTTAATGGTTAGAGTTGAGAGACAATATTCCAGCTCAGCCGTTTGTTTTTGTTTGTCTTTATTCTATTTAAAGATAAAATTCACATGTTAATTTGAAAAAGCTAAAACCATATATTTAAACTGGAGGGAAGAGGGAAGGTTACAAATCATTTTTCAATACCCCCCCTTAGAAAAATAAGATCAAACTTCAAGAATATGGTATATAGACCAAAAAATAAAGTAGATTGATCTACTAGATTAGTCAATATTGGCAAAGGAAAATAAATAGGAGAATATTTTGCATGTTTTATTATAAATGAATATTTTCAGAATGTATTGAATGCAGATGAATTAAATGACAGTTTATTCATCCTCCTTAAATTATGAGGATATCCCTTTCTCTCTTCCACTTAAGGCTTGCGTTAGCATGGTTTTTATTTTTATATAGCTTACAGAAATACGGTATGAGTTGAATATCAGTGCAAAATACAGGCTGCTATGATGATAAACAGCTACCCTTCCTTGCTATTTTATAATATGTTATAAATATTATGGTGACTAACTCTTGATCTGAATCTAGAATGCAAGCCCTATTGATGAACACTAGGTGTGTGCCTCCCTCCCTTCTTTCCACCTCTCTCACTTACTACACCCACCCATCTACCCCCCCCCACTCCAACATCAACCACCTCCATCACCAAGTGACCAAACATGCCTGCCAAATTAATATAATTTCACACAAGAGCACACATCCCACTTAATCCAGGGTCTAGGGAAAACATCAGGTCTTCAAGGCCCATTAAAAAGTCAGTGGGGTCAGGAAAACATGAACTTCTCAGGGAATAGTATTCCAGAGGGCAGATATTGTGGCAGAGAAGTCATAACCTCAGAATTTCATCAGGTTTTCAGTGTATAAAGTATCAAATGACAGTGAAAGGGAAAATCTGCAAATTTTGCGAACTACTCACAATTCCTTTTTTAGCAAATGGCCACCATGTCCTTTTGGATTCTATTGCATGGGAAAAAAAGAAGAGCATTGCTAAAGAAACAAAAATATATATTGTAGAAAATATGATTGTGTGATCCTATTTACACAACAGAGTTAACTCAGATGATCCAGGGCCTGGAGAAAAGACCAGGTCTTCAAGGCCAATTTAAAGGACAGCAGAGTCAGAGAAATTTGAACCTCTGGGGAGGACACTATTCTAGAGAGCTAACCCACTCAAATTAACTTATAAGGTCCTGGCAGCACACAATAATGGATGTGCAGTTAACAAGTAGGCTGGCTTGGTCGCTCAACAGCAAGACACTGGTGAAGCGGGTACAGCAATGCCTGCATTTTCTGCATCGCATGAGAAAAGCACATCTTCCTTCCCCTGTCCTTACCACTTTCTACAGAGGGACGATTGAGAGCATCCTGTCATACAGCATCACAGTCTGGTTTGGAAGCATCACTGCTTCAGACAGGAAGGCGGTGCAGAGAGTGGTGAGGATGGCTGAAAAGATTATTGGCAATTCCCTCCCTTCCATCCAGGACATAGCATATAAGCATTGCTTCACCAGGGTCCACAAGATTGTCTGGGACACTACACATCCTCTTCATGACTTATTTTCTTTGTTACCTTCTGGGAGGAGGCTTCGTGGTATCCAAACCAAACATCCAGATTTAGTCACAGTTTTGTCCCATACAGTATTAACCTTGTGAACTCTAAAGCTTCCTCCTTCTGTTATGTATTCAAGATGGACAGTGATGAATATTTATATGTCACATATGTAAGGGGGTAGGTCTATACATATGTTGTATATAGTATATTTAAATGTGTGTTATGTATGTGTACACTTTGAGAGCAAGCAACTAAATTTCATTTTTAATTGTGCCATTAGGCTCACAGTAAAAAATGACAATAAAGGTTATCTATCTATCTATCTATCTATCTATCTATCTATCTATCTATCTATCTATCTATCTATCTATCTATCATTTATCTAATGCTAACTTGGTCAAAAGTTGCCATTTTGAAAATACTGAGTAATTTCCCCCAGCTCCATTTCTCCGGGAATCATGTCTGGTATCCTAAGAGATGTTACACCAGGGAAATCCTGGTAGAGGGATCTTGTATCACCAGGCTCTTCTCCACTAATCAGCCAACCAACAGTGCTCAGGAAAAGTCAGGAAAAGAAGGAAAAAGATTAGGAAAAGGAAATAAAACTGGCAACAGTGTTTGTTGAGGGAGAAAGATCGCTTCCTAGGCACTCACATGCGAAGTGCTGCAGGACAGTACTCTCTATTCTCCCCTTTTCAACATCTAATTGAAATTGCTGGGTAAGGTCATTCATCAGTTTGTGGTTTGGCATCATCAATATATCTTTCAATTCTAGCCCAGCCCAGAGAGATTGTCAAATTCTGTCTCAATGCCTTGACAGGTTTGGATCAAGAGAAACCGTTTCTGACTCAATTCTATCATGACCAAATGGCTGTGGTTATTTAGACCAGGGCTTTTCAACCTTTTCACCCATTGTACCACTTTTAGGATATGGCAACATCCGAGTACCAGTCGCCTAGCAAGGTGTCAAAAACTTGATGACCCCCCCAAAAAGGAAGAAAGTGATAAAGTACAGGTAGTCCTTGACATACAACAGTTCGCTTAGTGACTGTTCAAAGTTATAATGGCACTGAAAAAGTGCTCCCCAAGCCACAGCCGAGCAAGACACCTGCCCACCCACCTGGTGGCGCTCTTTCTCCTGCCTGAGGTTTTCATTGTTGTGAGCATTTCTGTTGAGAATTGGCAGCGGGGGTGGGGTGGGGGGGTGTTTGGTTTTTATTCCCCCCGTCTGCTGGGTGGTTACAGCAGGTTTTGGTCACTTTACATGACCCTGGATCACTGTGACCATCATAAATATGAATCAGTTGCCAAGCATCGGAATGTAAATCACAAGACCCTGGAGATGCTGCAACGTTCCAGTTGATAAGCGTGTCTTCTGGGCTCAGCAGAAGTGCTGCTTTCCAGCTGATTGGTGCTTCTTCAGGGCTCAGCAGAAGCACCAGGATCAGCGCCAAGCTCCAGCTGGAGCCTGGCGCTGATCCTGGCGTTTCCACTGAGCCCTAACAGCCCCAAAGAAGCGCTGATCAGCTGGAAAGCAGCACTGATTCTGGTGCTTCCGCTGACCCGACAGCCCTGCAGCTCCAGCCATCTCTTGCTCAGGCTTGTGCAGTGCTGCCACCGGTTCAGCTCATTCCCCTCCCCCACTACCAATTTTCCAAAATGGTCGCGTACCACCTGCCAGGTGCCAATGTACCACTGGTTGAAAAGCCCTGGTTTAGACCATCCAGTTCTGGGGATGTTCCAACTTTAACATTCGATGAGATGGCACTTTTTCATTCAAGGGTGGTGTGTAATTTGGAGATGTTCCTGGACTCATAGTTCCATCTTGATGAGCAGATAAGAACTGTGGTCAGGAAAGCCTTTGCACAGCTTCATCTGGTGTGCAAGTTTTGCCTGCCGGCAATATGTGGCTGCTCTTGAAGATCATATGGAAGCTTCATTTGGTCCAGAATGCAGCAACATGAGCACTGATGGGCCTGCTGCAGTATAGCCATGTAACACCTCTGCTTTGCAAGCTGCACTGGTTGCCTATTTGCTTCTGGTGCAATTCAAGATACTGGCTATTACAGTACCTACAAAGACTTTCATTGCATAAGGCCCAATTAATTGAAGGACTGGCTGTCTTAGAGCAGGGCTTTTCAACCTTTTTACTGATTGTACCACTTTTAGGATATGGCAATATTCGAGTACCACCTAGCAAGGTGTCAAAAACTTGATGACCAAAAAAAAAAAAAAAACTGTTCAAAGTTGCAATTGCACTGAAATGACTTATGGCCATTTTTCATACTTATGACCATTGCAGCATGCCCAGGTTCATGTGATTTATATTTGGATGCTTGACAACTGATTCATATTTATAACAGCTAACAACAGCAGAGCAATAGAAGCTAACATGAGACATCAGCCATCAGCCAAATAAAAATTGCCAAACACTCCTTAAGAACACAAAGCCCTCATTGCACAAATCCCAGAACTTCAAAGTCACAAAAGCACATAAGAATCCTTCTACTCTCCATCTCCTTCCCTCCTCCGTGCCTCACCTCTAGCCATTGCTGCCTTTTTTCATTCCTCTTGGAGGGCGATCCCTCCCCCGCTGCATTTCTTGCCTGTTTGCTGCTGCCAGCACAGATGGCTGTCACAGCAGTTATAGATCGATTCATGGCCAGCCTGCTTGATCTCCTCTCCCCCCACCCTCCCCCTCCTTCTTCCCCTTTGGTGCAGCTGATTCTGCCTCCTCCCAAAGCTGCTGCTTTTTTTCTCTCTGCCTCTCCTGTCCAAACTGCCTCCTTTTATAGGCTCTCCTGTCTCCACCCCCCTCCTTTCTCATGGGGGAGGGTGAGCCAGAAGTGAGCCTGGGGCCTTTGCAGCTCTAGAGGACTCTCTCACAGCAAGTCCTTGCCTGTGCTGGCTCTTTCCCTCCCCCACTACACTTGGCTAGGCAGGGCTGCGTACCCCCTGCCACTCATTAATGTACCACAAGTGGTACGCGTACCACCGGTTGAAAAGCCTGTTTTAGAGTATTTGCCCAGTCAATCCGATCTGGCAGGTTGGTGTGCTCTGAGTTCCTTCAATTAGGCAATGCCATCTAATAGTACCCAGAAGCACCTTTCTCTGTTGCAGAGCTTGCCCTCTGGAATGAATTCTCCCGAGATCCCACCCTGCTGGTGTTTCAAAGGGGCTTGAAAGCCTGGCTCTTCATCCAGGCCTTTAGTAAGGATGAATGAAATTTCCTTTTAACTTGGATTGTTTTCTTTTGTTTCCACATGGTTTGTTATTATGCCACCTCTACTCTTCTTTTCTTTCGTGTTGATTTTATTGTCCCTATTTTTCATGTTTAAAATCATTTGCAATTGTCTTACTTTTCACTGAGTGATAGTATTCACATAATGAATCTAACTGCAAAGAGCACTTTAATAAAACAAACTAGGGATTGTTTTTACCTTCTTAACTACATAGCTGACTGGATTTAAGTTTTCCAGGGGTAACCTAACTCCATTCATACTTCAGTTTGTTGCAAGAACTAAGCTTGATTTGTCTAATGCAGGGGTGTCAAACTGCTGTCCATGGGCCAGTTTCATCATACCGAAGCTGTGCCCACCCCATTACCGGCAATGGAAAAAGAGTTGCGACACATCACGTAACGTGGCGAGTTTGACACCTGTGGTCTAATGTATTAAACTATTTTTTTTTTTGTGTGATTCAGGATCTTTTTGGAAACAAAGCCAGTGTCCTAGCACGCTGAACAAACCAGGTCTTCTGATTGAACTATTATGTTGGGGTTTTTTTGGAAGGGTTGTCTGGGCATAATATTTATATATGAACATGAAATCATGGTTTGTTATCCACATTTAGAGTTTATTATGTTCTTTCCCACCAAGATCTGGGGCACAGAGCATTTTGATTGGGACTGGTTTTCATAGCCAATGGTACAATGCTACATTTAACAGTATAAAAACCACAGAAGTTATTTTTAGTTAAAAACTCAATTCACAGTTTTTCCTCCCTGACCTGAGTTTTGCAGTGATGTTGATTGGTATAGGAATTGTGCTGCACTGTCTGATATCAACAAGTCTCCAGGGAACATCTCAAATCCAGGCAAACTCACCACCACTGAGCTATGCCTGCGGACAGCTGACCTGAATAGTTTACAAGGAAAACAAAAACAGGGTGGTTAATTAATTCCAAGAAAGTTGTTATTAAAGAAGGGAGAAAATGCACCCCTCAACTTCATTTTTACCCAAGAGTCCCAACATTCATAGTTTGAAGCAAACAAGCAACCTTGTACAATAATATATAGTCATTTACCCAATCAACATTGTGGGGTGGCTGACCTAGAGGAACCTTTGCAGAGAAAATAACGTTGGTCAAACAATTTAGCTTTGCTATCATATAGCAGTCATGTCATCTCAGTCCTAATGCATCTAGATTCATTGTAAGGCTGACTTGCATGGATTTTCATCTCATAATTTACCAACACAAATATAATCTTTTTTTACTGAGTAAATACAAGTACCATTAATACAGATATATAATGCATGCATTTTGCATGTTTAAATAGCAGCTTCTCGGTAACAGTTTTGTTCCTACTGTTGTGGAGTCTCCTTGCAAGCTAAGAAACAATTGCTTATGACAATGAACCATGTCAGTGTGGTTTTCTATTTTCTGATTGTCTTGTGATATATATGAAAGAGCCTGAAAGAGCCATATGGCTAATTAATGAATCAGCTTGGATGCAGTGCTGACAGATTTATTCAATACTCAAATGCAAACATTTACTTACATGTATCCTACTCCTTTTAGATTTTGTGCTGTTTCTGAAAATTTGAACTTTATTTTACTATTGCAAGAATAAGGGTATGAATAATGACCGAAGGAACTATTTAATAAAAATAATTTTAGAACTCAATAAATTGTCTTATTGTCAATACTGTTCATAAAAACAAAAATGCATTGTATTTCACTTTAGCTATATGGAGCTATTACAATCTCTGTTATATAATGGTATTTTAAAATTTCAAACAGGTTATGATAAACTCAAAATAGGGAGTCTGCATAACATGTTTTATTATAGTTTTTCCTTCTAGGTTTTACCAGAAATCATTGAGTCAATCAAAGAGTTTGATAAATCTAGTGCAACAAGATTAGTATAGTCACTATAGTTTGCATATAATTAATTTCTCACAAAATCTGAAAAAGTTATCGTGTCATTTGATTCCAGAGAGCATGATTCTGCCTAACTCTGTTCTGCAAGATCAGGCCAAAGAATTAATCACCCAAATCAGATCAGCCAATGAAAACTTCTTTCCTGCTCAAATTCAAGGTTGGTTTTATTCAAACAAGCCAAGTTATATGCTCTCTTAAGGATGAAAGATCCATCACATATTTAGAATAGAATAGAACAATCACAAGTGAAAAAGAAAACCTGAACAGTTTGCTACCATATGCAATCTGCTCCTTGTGACAACAACTTCATCCTTCCTAATAAGATGATCCTGGTTGTAATGTTTTTATACAAAAAAAATTATAAAATTGAACAATATTATCTACAGATAATAAAAGAGGCAGGGGAGAAGGGATTATGGTGTTCTGAAAGCAAGGAATAGATTCTACCAATATAAGTAGAATTGGTAATTTTATTTTTCAAGACAGTTATACTTGCAAACATCAAATAATTGAAGAATTGTTGATCTATTTTGAAAAATCTATTTGTTCTTCTATCATTAATAGGTAAAATAAAGGGAATATGGATGATTAATTTTTGATGGCTTAATATTCATTAACATTATTTTACATTTTAGGAATCAATCTATGTTTGATGAATCTGTAGCAACATGGACTTTGTGTAATGTCTTGTGCAGAATCGCTATAATAATCTTCCTCAATATTGACCATCTGTTTAGGGATTAAGGGACCTGAAGTCCAATACATCCAAAAGGCATTAGGTTAGGAAAAGGTAGTCTGAACTGTAGATATATTTTCAATTTGGTAATTGAAGGATTAAAAAAAAACTTGGAGAAAGATATATTACAGTAGTCTTTTTTTGCATTGGGTTGTTTCAACTCTGTTAACAATTTCAAGCAGTTGTGCAGCTACTTCTAACAATACAAAATGAAAAGATAAATATAGCTGGGCATGTCTGAACTAATATGCAAACATGAAATACCTATTGTTAAAAGAGCAAGTTTAAACAACTCAGTGGTGGAACATTTAAAACATGGCCATCTATATTTAAACAGAAATTATTTTGTTAGATGCAGTGAATATGTCACTCTTACTTCTTAACATGAAATAAAATGGGAATATTATGTTGATTTTAAAATAGCAAGATTAAATATATACATACCTACTAGATTTATGTAAATCCAAGGCCTGAGAAAATAAGGCATTGAGTGTTAGTTCTTATAGCTAATGGCTGCATTTCACATGAAAAATGGAATTTCAGAATGGATCAAATTGAATGTGGACCATATTCACCTAAGGCCTACAAATCAGGCCAGGAAGATATTTAGTCCAGCATTCCATAACCAGCTAGTTGGATTCAAGAGGCCCACAAGCACGATGGGTGACCATCTTTTTTATGTTATGTTCAAGCAACAATATACTCCAATTAAGAGTACAATCTATAAGCTGGCATTTGGTTAGCTTAGGGGCACTAGTAAATAGAGTAAATGCTTTTTTGCCAATGTGACAGCATATTCACAACTAGAGAAAATTTTTGTCTATTCTTTTATATATATAGCAAGTGTGGTGGGTGTTAAGCCTACCATCCACAGGGGCATATTTAAGGGCCACAGGTTGCATGATAGAGTACACCAACACTGTGAATAGCATAATAATTTCTCTTCTCATCTTTGATTGAGAAGTAGCAAGGCTGAGGAAACTGATAATGATATTGCAAAACATTTTTTCCATAATCATAGGACTGTTCAGTCTGTTCAGACTATTTCATGATGGAATCAAAACTCCCCTATAATTTTTCTCACACAGATTTAGGCGGCATTGAAACCTTTGGAATTCAGGTCATTTAATAAACCATACTGCATGATAAATGCTTGATTGGATTTGTGTTTCCTGCTCTGAACAATCATGCCAGAAAATGAATATGGCACTCTAAATTCCTAGATTCTTTACAATCCATTTATGCAAACAGTTTTTTATTTAAAAAGTAATTTTGGACAGTTCTAATAGCCCTCTACTGCTTAACATGTGACTGGAGTCTGAATGGTCCTCTGGACTCTACTGCCTATCTCCCAGCATTCCTTGACATTGGCTATGATGGTTGATGATGAAGGTTGAATATTAGCACCAACTTAACTGTTTCAATCATGTAAAATAAATTATTTGATTTTCAGCCGAATGATTCGAGGCTTAGTAATTAATTTAAGCTATGCAAGCTTAATTGGGAAATGACTAGATAAGGATGTCCAAATTGGTGCTCTTCAGAAGTGTATAAAAGTGTTCAGTTATAAAAAAAAACATGCTAACTGGTTGAGATGGAAAACATGTTTCAGCATATTTGTGGGATTTCAGGTTGAGACAGGCTGAAATAGGCTGTCAAACAATACTAAATACCTTTTAAATCTAGGAGTAATAATGATTTATTATATGAGACTCTCAGCTGAACAATTCTAAAGTATGCCAATTTAGAAAAGAAAAAATGATTATTATTATGTTTTTGCATTACTTACCTGGCTATATTGCTGAGAATCCTTTCCTTCATATTCTGGAGAAGAGTTGTTCTCACTACTGTTTTGCACTGTTTGAGTATCACTGAAATCATGTTTATGATCCAGTAGATTCGCTGTGGGGTTAACTGATGTAGAGTGTTGTATTTGGATCAATGTATTTGAGTAAATGCCAGAGGATGATGGGAGAGAACAGTGCTGAGGGTGTGAAGGAAGTTCTGGATGCATAGAAAGAAAAATGTCAACTTGTGGCATCTGTTTGTCTGTTTCTATGTTCTCAGCACTGTCCTGGAGTGGAGATATTTGAGATACTGATGATGTGTTCTTTCTTAGCCTCCTCAAGGTTGGAGAAGTAGAAATCCTACTTGGAGCATGCCTATCAAATAGATATGGGGGATTGTCAGCACTATCGTGCTCCACATTCAGCAGATGCAACTTACCAGTCAAGTCCCGCCTCCTGGTAAGGCTATCAGGGCCCAATTTTATCCCTGTGTTGATTGTGGCTGACATTTCATGGGAAGAGGACATAGTATTTCCCAAGTCACTCTTTTCTAATAAATCCACATTTTCTTTCCAAAGCTCAGTCTCCTTAAATATATGGCACTGTTCATTTATGTTAATTACTTTATCCATGTCCAGAGAAGATCCACTGTCCATATTTTCCATTCTAGATCATGGAGCATAAATCTATAGTCATAGGATAGAAATAAGAGCAATGTTTTCAATTGCATAATCAACATCAATTATTTTAAAACTAGATTTTATCATTTATTTTCAAAATGTTGGATAATGCTTAATAATTTTTCACGAAGAACTCTTTACAAGAGTTGCTATCATATCTTTAATTCTGGATAAGATGAAACATGATTCCTTCTGTGACAAACTGGCTTATAACTGCTGCAAGATATTATATGCACAAAAATGGAAAGGTTCTGAAATATCCACAATGGAGGAAAAACTAATGAAGATGAAAGAATTAGCAAAGAAGGCAAAATTGACTTGTGTGATTAGAGAAAGGACAATAATCACATTTATTAGTGACTGGAAGCCTCTTATGGATTTTTTGCTGATAAAAGAAAAAAAATGAATTTATGATTTATGGGTTTGATGACTAGAAAGTATAAACTATATAAAGAAGGAAATTATGTTGTAACCTTAGAGAGAGAGGGTAAAGTATAAATGTACTTAGCTACTGTTAAGAAAATCAGAAGCAGCTTCTTCATAACTTTTTATTTTCTTTCTTCTCTATTTCTTTATTTACTTTTAAACTTTATATTTTTTTCAAAATTTGTATTGCTTTTATACTCTTAAATTTATTTAATAAAAAATATATGTCAAAAAATAACTTGGGGTTCTTAAGTGAATTTCAGCTGGCAGCTGTAGCAAATACACCCTTGTAAAATTTCATCTGTAGGAATAATTATGGAGTGGTAGACTTTCCCTTCATTCACACATGCCTTGGTTGCCTCTCACTTGGACTATTGCAATGCACTCTACATGGGTTGCACTTGAAATCCTTTCTGAAACTGGAGCTGCTCCAGAATAGTGATTAGATTTCATGAATTCTGATGTAACATCCCTACTTCAAGAGTTGCATTGGGAACCAGTTTGCTTTGAGTACTCATTGCCACTTCTAAAGCTGTTCCAGATTCAATTTTCCCTTTTAAAGACTTAAAAAAAATCAGATGAACTTCATATACTTGTAATTACAGATTGTTTTTATTTATATGTTTGTGTGTTTTTGTTCTTTATTTTGGTGATTGTACATTTTTATGACTATTTGAAAAAGGATAATAAAAACTATGCAAATTTGAGAAAAAATGGTTGAGGTCTTGGATGTTTTCAGGACTACATTCTTCCAATTGTTTCTGCTTGTCCAGATCAGGTAGACATTTTTAATCAAGGTCCTCCTTCCTTGGAACAGCATTCTGTAACTTCCTTTGTAAATCTTTTGGACTCCTACGCAGCTGGAATTAGAAAGGCCATTAAAACTGGCTTTTCCTGAAGACTCTGGGGATACAGAGATGTGGTTAACCATGACTTCTTATAATTTGAAGGTTTTTTGAAATGAATTTATTTTACTAATATCTGTAATGAAAATGTGAGCTGTAGTAGAATGTTAAATAATTAATGTTTATATAATTTTAATTTTATTTTTGAAAATAGAGTATGTAAACCATTTAAAGGTGGCATCAATTGAAGTAGAATATAAATCTAGTAAATATATTGAAAAATTAATATACAATTTGTTATTGTCTACTGTGAAATTACTCTCCAGAAATCAAGGGGATTTTATGGAAATTATTATTATAAGGGTCATTTTCTGAGAAGGGCACCCATGGAAATTGAACAACTAAATAAATCAGACATAAAAAGTTGGGGAAAAAATCACAAATTTTCACATTTCTTGGGGAACCGTTTTTTAAAAAATATTTGTTACTAAAAGTTTTTTCTTAATATAAAAGCAAATATAAATAAAGACAATGAAAAAATAGGGGAAGAGGAAAGGAGGTGAAGGAAAGGAGAAATGTACGTAAAATGAGGAAAAATAAAGAAAAGCAGAAAACAAAAAGCAATGACTTTCAACTTTTTTTGGTAAATATAGTTATAATGTTAATTTTTTATTTATCTAAAATAACTAATACTAGCCACTTCTACAACCATGGCCTACTTAATCGTCAAAACTCAAAATCAAAGTTTTATTTTTTCTCTTTTGAGCTAAAGTGGTTTCCCAGCAGTTTTTTTTTTATTCCTAGTTAAAGCAGTTAATTTTGCCATCTCCACCAATCTTTGAGAGTTCTTGGTAATAAACTACCCCAATGCAATATTTTCCTAAGGTTCTCATTCACAAATATTTCTAAGGAATATTTATAAATATCTATCAGTGAATAGGCAGTTTCTGACCACAGGGCCGTATTAAATACTTCTTGAGGAGAATGGGCTTCCATCAATGATGAAAAGTAGATGGGACAAAGGAACACACAAAGTTGTTCTTTTTAGTTTAATAATTTTTTGGGGGAAATAAGTGGGCTTTTATTTTTATTTATTTTTAACTATGTTAAATATCACTGCACTCAATACTCATTACAATGGTGTGAAATCATGCAATCATTTTTGATCATCATTTTTGTGAAATTTTTCAGTAAGATTCCTGGCACACAAAATAAATTTTGGGATTCCCAGTCCAGTCTTTGATTGCTGGAGTGCTGCTGTAATTTCATATTACTGTATCTATAGTACATAGATTATTCACCCTGCTTGGATTGTTTCAGTTTACTGAATGTAAACCAATAGTTTACAATCCCATAAACAGTAACTTCTATTGCATAAAACCTAGATGGTTCGTTTACCTTCTAAAGATTTCTTGCACTTCCATAAACTTAAGGATTTGGCAAGCTTGTTTGACACAAAACATGTCAGGCTGACCCTTGGACAACATATCATGTGTGTATGTTTTATACAAGCAACAGAGAATACAACCAGTGGTGGGATTCAGCCAATTTGCACCAGTTCGGCAGCACCAGTAGCTAATTTTTTGTTGCCCAGGCCCAGAATGGATTTCTGGAAGCGTCATCCACACAGAGAAACGATTGTTCACATATCTGAATCCCACCACTGAATACAACGTTCATAAAATCACACTGCACATCACCTTAAAATATTTTAATTTCACTGTCTTTCAAAGCCACTTTAAAATTAAACATGAAAAAACATGCACACCTAATTAACATTTTTATAAATAATAGCAGAAGGTAAAATTTCTAGAAAAAATAATTTATGGTCCTTTAGTTCATTACTTACACTTTAAACAGCAGAACAAGCTATTTCAGAGTTGTCTTCTCCTGCAGAAAAAAACACATTACAAGAAATTTTCTTCAAAGACTCCTGAATCCTCCAGTAAATTTCACTACCTGTTAATGTGGATGAGTTTAGTATAGTTATCTGAAATGTAACTGCAGTGTTTTGTTGTTTGGCTTCTCTAGCCTTCTTTCTGAAAGCAACAATAAAAAAACTTGTTTGACCTCTTTGTATGTTTCTAAGGGATTTTTTAAAATCACAACAGTGAAAAGGGAAGTGGTAACAAGCTAGTTTACAGAAGGTAACATGATCTATTTCAACACATTCCTCATAATACAGTATGTGCCCTATAGACATGTTCCTTTAATTGTTTTACTTCTCAGTTTCTTATTTTCCTCATCCATTTTCAGGTATCTGCCTAGAGAATAAATAGATATAAAAAACCCAAGAAACATTGCTAGAGTAGATTTGATAGACAGTGTGTTATTCATTTATGGATAAATATACAATTTAAACAGATTGTTCTGTCTTCTACCATGGTTTTTTTTTTTTTTGCTGTCTTATAGCACTAAAATAGTAATACATCTCTTTTTACTGTCCTTTTGGTCAGATTAAGCCTACCTGATCAGAAGATTTTGATATCACAGCCTTTGGAAACTCAAGACTTTCCTGGGTTCAGGTTGGGAGCAGAAGTGAGGAAGTAGCGAAAGAGAAGGTTTTACCAAAGTAGGTATAGGGTGCAGTCAGTTTGGGGACATTTTAGAGATTCAGGAGCTTTTGATTTCAGAAGATCCATTAATTTTTCAACCCAAAGATTCTTCCCATTCCATCGTTCTGACATTCTGAGGCCAGAAAGAACTTTCTGGATGGGTTGGAAAGAAAGATGGTTTTTGATAATACAAGAATATCTCATAACGTTTTGGTTGTGATAATGTTCTTATTAATTCAGAACACTTAAGATGTTATATTAGGGCCTTTGGGAGCTCTGTTTATTATTTTATTATCATAAAATGCAAGGGTTTGAATATACTTAAAAATCATCTAGTCTAATTTTTGCCCAATAGAAGTATCTATTAATACAGATTTAGTCAGCCAATCTGTCTTTAAAGACCTTCAGCCAAGGAGAATCCAGTTTGTTCCATGTTTAGAATTTTTTCCCCCCTTGATGTCCAACCAAACTATAGCTCCCTGTAATTTAAACAATTTAATTTTCTTGTTCTGTGTTCTGGAGCAACTGTGAAAAATCTATCATTTTTTCTACATGACAGCTTTTTAGATGCTTGGATCCAAGTTACATGTATATCCATAGTCTCAATTCTCTGGGCTAAACATTCTCAATGCCTCCAGTATTATTCATAAGGTTTTTTTCAGGTCTTGATCATCTTCCCTGCTCTTCTCTAGATTTGCTCCAGTTTATGCTCAATATTTCTCATCCAATCCCATGTTTTTGTTTTTGAAATCCAGGATTTTTTATGTGTCCTTGTTGAATTTCATCTTGTTAATTTAATTTATTTCTATTATTCCAGCTTGTCAAGCTATTCCTCACATATTCATACTGTTCTCTCATGTCATCTGCAAAGTTGATATTCATACTTTGTAACCCTTGATCCAGTCATTCATGAATATGCTGAAGTGTTCAGAGCTAGAATAGAACCGTGTTATATGTCACTTGGCACTTTTTCCCAGTTGATGCAGCTGCTGATATGCTTTATAATTAAGTACAATTCTTATCCTCTCTATTAGGATACCACTGGAAATGTTGTCAAATGTCTACTACATTCTTGTGGTTAACTAAATGCCTCCTAAGAATCTAAGTGGCTATATGTTGGAGATCTGCATTAATAATAAATTGTCCCACATACCTCCTTTGGATTAAAATTTTTATCTATTATGTGAAAAATAATAGATATGTTGGAATCTGGTAGGAATAGAAAGCTCATATGAATATCATTTCAATTACAATGTATTTAGTACAGTTTTAATCAGTGCTTTTTTTCTTAAAAAAAAAAAAAAAGGTGCCTGAACTCACACACGTCATACAACCCGCCTTGCCTACCCTACAAGATTCCATCCAAAAAAGGTGCCAGAACTCTGTTCTGGGCGTTCTATGAGAAAAAAAGCCCTGGTTTTAATGTTTGGAATTATTTTATTCTTCCTGATAATGGAATTGTTTTTGATAGTGTAAGGTTTTCCACTTAGCCTCACAATTGCCCCAGCATTACTCAGGAATTTAAAAGAGCCAAAGAAACTCCTGAGCCGAGGTTTCAGCAAGCAAACAACTTTTATTTTGATCAAAATAGAGTTGGGTGACCCCATCTCTCTTCGTGGCTGGTAGAGAGATGAAGGCAACAACCAGAAAAGATGTCTTCCACCTTTTATACCTTTTCAGAACAAAGAGATCAGGTCTTGATACTAGGCATAAGATGGCACCCAAAAATAATTCCTAGGTGATGACTCATACACAGCAACCCAGGCTCCATCCGTAACTCCTTTCCCTCTCCCCTTACTATGCTCTTTTCATATAGTAATAACCTATGCCTAAAGCATGAAGCCCTTACTTTTCCAATATATATTTATAAAGCATCTGATCAAGCAATTAACTACAAAATAATGATTACAAAATAACAAAACAACGATTACATGGTAACACTCTAAGTATCAATATAAAATGGTTACTATATATAAAATAAATGCTAATGTCAAACTTAAACATACTAAAATCATAAGCACAATAAAATCCCTTCAATAGTAATAATCACTATCCATTTTTTTCATGAATTTAGTTAATTCATCAATATATTATGGACATTGCAACAGCCAGATACATTCCATTAATTTTCTCTTATTTAATATACCTGATTGGCTGCAGTAAGAAAATAGCAGGGAGATGGACTGACTTTGGGGACCTTATTGATCAGCTAGGTCCCGTAGTCATAACGGGGTTTTAGGAAGAAAGCAAGGATGTCTTGTTCTGTGTTTATTTGCATTTTCATTCTTTAAAAATATCTTTTATGTCTTAAAACAGCAGATACTATGTTGTGGTTTTTAGCAATTCTGCAATTTTGATTTGGGGGAGGACTCTGAAGTCACATAGCATTAGGGGCCTTGTGAGACTTGTGGACTGCATCTTTCCACTCCTGGAAATGTGAAAGTACAAAACCTATTCTTTTTTTTAAAATAAGAAAATACTATCTTAGCTACCAGATACAATATAATCAGCTACAGTTGTTTACTTACAGTACAGTGATATAACAGCCGAATCAATGAGTTTTTATTATTTTAAGAACTGGCTCCTCTTGCCTTGTGATTAACTGTAGAGTTAAAAATTAATCTGGCATCTCTTCAAGGCAGTTATGAAAAGCTAAAGGAAAACAGAAGTGTGGCACCTACAAATTTAGAGTAACTATGAAAATTAAAAGTGGCTTGTGTGCATTTATTATTCTTTACTCTTATGTTTATATATGAAAATAATTGAAGCGATTTTTCAGATATATTTTCAATGGGAAGAGATGGTGAAAGGAAAAGGACCCTTTCTAGCGATTTAAATATATAATCCTCTCTTTTTTTAATGTAGCACCAAAGAAAATATTCTCCAAAAACAGAGATAAGTACAGTAAATCTGCCATTTATGTCTTATTTCCAAATATATTTAACTTAATTTTAATAATGTAACATTATTTTAAATCAAATAACTTGTCAAGTTTCTTTACAGAATAAATGCTTACAATTTTAACTGAATTCAATAAAATCAGGATTTCCTCTAGAACAAATTGAATCTTAGTCTAGTGGGCTATCAACGAAATGGGTATTTCCCCTTTTTTTAGTATTGCATAGCAGTCCTTTAATGGAATAATATTTTAATATCCTATAAAACATATTTATAAGTTGCATTTTGAATTATTTTCATACTACTGTCTCAGTAGAATAGTGCATTAAAATTGTTCTGATTTTATCAGAATGTTTATTATTCTTCAGCAAATGTAATAAAGGCACTATTGAAAAATATTGTTGTTTTAATCTTAGGACTGATTCTCTCAATTGTTTAAATTGTAACCCAGTGTCATATGTTTGCTCCTAGAAGAACACATATTACACCTCTGCTCCTCAAAGCTGCATTGGCTGGCAGTTTGATTTCAGGTCCAGTTCAACGTGCTGCTTTTAATCTTCATGATGTGGGACAAAGTTATCGAAGGAACCACCTCTCCCCAATAACATCAGCCTCTCCCGTTAGATCTAGCAGAGAAGACATGTTGCGGATACCATCTGGCAGAGAACTGCAACTGGTGGGTCCCAGGAGATGGGCCTTTTCTCTTATGGTGCAAACAACACCCCTCCCCCCATCCCAAGTCAGTTTAGTGCCATCCCTGTTATCATTCTGGAAATCCCTTAAGACCTGGTTATGTCAAATATTTAGCACAAGACAACACAAGACACAAAACTGTAAGAGTATAGTCTCATTGTCTTGAATCCAAATCCTGCTGGCTGAACAGACTGCAGACTATCGAAGGTGGTAACAGTTTTTTTTTTTTTGTAATGGTATTATAAAGTATATAGGTTAGCAGTAGAAATTCTGTCTTTCATCCCCACATATGCAATACACAGTATGGTGCATTTACATAATGGTGACAATTATTTTATTCTCTCCAAAACAGCAGATGGCATTGTCTGATTACTTTGGAGCGTAAATACTCTTATCTGGGAGCTGATGATTCAAAGTGACAAGCTTATGTTTTGTTGAAACAAAGTGCTATTATAAGTTCACTTAAAGTGTACATCCAGATATTGAATTGATCATTTCTCATGTTTGAGGAAATGAATGGGTTTTAGTTGTGTGTCAGGTTTTTGGTCTATTCAGTTATTAAAAAGACAGGTGGGTTATTCACACAGAAATTGATGATTAATATAATAGCTAACCAATACAAAAATTGCTTTTCTCTTGTGAGATCAGAATTAAATGCCTTTGCTCTTTTTCAGCTGACCCACTGAGTAGAAAATGATTTATCAGCTCAGTATGTATATATGTATGCAGTGCTTTTTTTCTAAAAAAAAAAAAAAAAAAAAGGTGCCAGAACTCACACACGTCATACAACCCGCCTTGCCTACCGTACAAGGTTCCATCCCAAAAAGGTGCCGGAACTCCGTTCTATGAGAAAAAAAGACCTGTATGTATGTATATGT